ACATTGTTTAGATAGTATTTTGGGCTATAAAAAAACCTAAATCCACAATATGTGTGAGTTTATATATTCTAGAGTAGACACCATAGTTTTGTTGAATTATTTGTCTGATGAAATTAAATTAATTAAAAATAACTTTTTTCTCATTTAAAGTGATACAAAGTTAAATTCTTCAAAAAAACTTTTTGTGTTTTTTTCTTTTGATTTCCAAGGTTTGTGTTCATGAAAAGGCAGCACAGGAGTTAAAAACATCCTAGAATCAAATGCATCTTAAAATTCTGGCCACTCCGCCTCCTCAGGGTACAGCTCTGGGCAAGGTTTTTATCCTCCTGCTCCCTCAGTTTTCCCCCATCTGAAAAATGGGAGCAGGAAGGTTGCCTGTGCACTATGAGTTTTTGTGAGGCGAACATGAACGGAGGGACACTGCCACAGCGTTTGTTTGTACCGGTGATTCCTGTTGAGATGTAACCTCCGCTGGGCAGTGTTAGAGGTTGCTGGGAATGGACGGGGCTCAAGGACAGAGCGGGATGTGCGCACTAGGGAAGGACTGGCTTCCACCTCGACCCAGCTTTCCAGCCTGCAGATGCGTGAGCCATGCCTCTGTGTTCGCTGCAAATTACTCAGTCTGTTACAGTAGCACCAAACCAGACAAAGGCATTCAATAAATAGATCTGTGTGGTTCCGAGGGTTCATGTGCAATCAGCCTTGTGGCAAATCAGGCAAATCTAAGACAGTGCAAGGCAGAAAGCTAGCTTACCATTTCCACCCCGCCCCACAGCCACAAATAGAATTTGACCTTCAGCCTTTTTCTATCCATTTTTTCACCTTTCATGCAAATATTCATGCTTTTTTTTTTTTTGCTTAACACACCAGAAGCATTCATTTGTAATTGAATTATTTTTAAACATCCTCTACCCTTTCCACAATTTTCATAACCAGTTCCTTTTTCATTGGACAGACAGGGTGTTTCCAAGAACATCAAAGACACATTTTAAAAATCTTAACTGCTCTGCCCTCATTGTGTGGAATTTCTCCAAAGCCCAGAGCCAGTTTACCTTCTGGGCTCAGGCAGTAACACATGTCTGAAACACTGCATAGAACCTGGCATTTTACACACGGCTGCTGAGGCACCATGGAAAAGCAACTCTTTAACTGTTGAGAAAAAAAGTTTGAGGCAGAAATAGCAGTGCAGTAAAATACATTCAGTGAGCACCGCCTGTGTTCCAAGCATGGCTCTATTCCCGATATTCACCACTCACAGCCACCTCCAGAGCCATAGCTCTCTTAGGATCCCCATCTTACAGAAGAGGAAACTGCGGCCCTGAAGAACTAGATGGGTCAGCGCTCATGGTAATGCGGGAAGATCGATGCCCCCTCCAGGACTCTCTCTCTCAGCCACTTCACTGTTTGGTGAAGGGTGTTACATCAGGAATGCTCTACCCCCGTTTTTCTTTCCTTATTCTTTGTTGGGAAGACAGCAGAAAGATGAAGTAAACATTGATAAGTGGATACTTGCTTCCTGAGCCTAACAGCCAGAGCTCAGATGGTTTTTCTCATGACGATCTATTTAGGCATTAGTGTTTTGGACTCTCCTGAGAGCTGGATCAAAATATCAGTGGTTTGCCTCCCCCTTTATTTTAAAGTGGGCTATGGAACTTTGGAGAGAATGACCACATTTTTTCTGAAAGCAGCATTCTTTTTTTACACACCAGGACAGTTTCACAGACGTGTGCATCTGCTGGGAAGGGTGTGTGGCTGGAAGAAACAGGAAGGTCCACTGACAGTTCGCGTAGGTGTTTCCCGATCAGCTTCCTAAGGTCATCTGAGCACGAGTCCCATTTTTCTTTCCAAATAGCACAGTTAGCAGTTATGGGTGCAGCGTCTATACGCACTCTCAGGGCTCCGGAGAAGCTGAATGAGGGCAGGAGGGGCCACGTGGGGAAGAGTTAAAACAGGGAACACCTTACCTTTTGGGAGGGCTTAGCTTTCTGCTCTAGCTGGAGAGAAAAGCTTGGCTTCTTCCATAGCAGTGAGAGCTTGAGTGTCAGAAATGTGAGTTGCAGAGAATTTTCCAGGGACTAATACAAAATGAAACAGAAAATTAGGAAATGAAATGACAGAGGGTCCGCTCGTGTCTCCTGCTGCAAGGTCTGACCTGCACTATTTCTCGAGCCTGGATGGGTGTGTGCGGTTCTTCCTCTGGTCGTTTCCTGGTTTAACTCCTAAAAGTGGTTATTTTCTGAGAATGACTCTTGCTAGGGGCTATTTAGGAATTGGGAACGAATCCAACTCTACATGTCTCTAGATAGCTTTATTTCCTAGAAGGCAAAGGTGCAGAACACGATTTATGGTATTAAAAAGATTAGATATTTGCCTTTTAAGTTTGGGGTTTCAGATAGTTCCATTTTAGGTCTTTCATGGAGAAATATGTGGCCTTCAGCAAAATGTACTTGGCCTATCTTTCAGAACTTCCTTCCTGAAAGCCAGTGTTTGCCTCTCTGGCCCTAAGTTACTTTTTCAAGTTTATTTAAACAAAAAACGATACCCAGGTCTGGCGGTGCAGTCTGCAATCCCAGCACTCTGGGAGGCTGAGGCAGGAAGATCACCATTGGGAGTCCAGCCTCAGTGAGAGCTTGTCCCATAAAAATAAAAAATAAAAACGGGCTGAGGATGGAGCTCAGGGTGCAGGTCGTGAGTTTAATCTCCAGTACTCCCTCCCTCCATAAATAAACAGGAAGGGCAAGCCCTGTGTTTAAACAGTGGCCCAGTGGACAGAAGATCTTTTGCTTGCAAAGCTGACCCTGATTTGGTGAAGCAGTAAGACACGGGGGAAAGCCTGGGTCCGTCCCTAAATCATACAGGCGGGAGCGGGAGAGACTGTAGCACACAGGCCCAGGAGGCTCACCGAGGCCCGGTCTGTGATCAGCTCGGGCGCTGCCTCTGCCCTGCAGCGCTGGGCCGTCCTGCGCTGGCCCCGGGGGCCTGGCTTCCTGCAGCCCGACACGGCGCCCTGGGCCGAGCCTCCTGGTCTCCCAGCTTTGAGCCCTTTCCCCAGCTCGGGCATCTCGGCAGGGCGGACTCGCGCAGCAGAGACCCCGGCTCCCCGGTGCCCCGGGCCTCACCACGCGGTGCAACTTTGGACCCGCGCGTACCCAGCGCCTCGGTCCGCTCGGTCCGGCCCATTTGCCTCTAGCGCCACCGCCTGGGCAGAGCGGGAACAGCCGGGCGCGGAGGGCGAGCAGAACCCAGGCGCGATTTCTCCTTTCATCATCCCGTTCTCCCTTTTCTGTCCAGAGACAATGCTTAAATTTACCCATGCGAGTTAAATGCAATGTGCACATCTCCCCTGCAATCTTTGGGTTAAAAGATACCGAAACGGCCTCCACTTAAAAAAAAACCCAAGCAAAAACACAACACAACACAACAAAACAAAAAACACATAAACCGTGTCTTTTTATAAAAGAGCTGGATATAATGCTCTTTGGTGACATAAAAATACAGTCGCAGAACCAGGCAACAAATAGTCTTTTCTCATCCACTTTTTGTTTTTGTTTCTATTTTGTTTGTTTGGAATTTTTGAGGTAAGATCTCTCTAGCCGGGAGCCCAAGCTGGCCTTGAATTGGACATGATCCTCCTGCCTCAGCCTCCTAAGAGCTCAGGGATTCTCACCGGTTTTGTTTGCTTTATTATTCTATCCAGTGAGAACTGAGAGCAGCAAAGATAGGTTAAAGGCTGCTGGTCTGGTGAGGTTTATCTTGCATTTAACACACACACACACACACGCACACACACACACACACACACACACACACACACACACGCCTTCCCTCACCACCCAGCCTCCCAGCTCTTGGTGCTCCTGTCTGATGCCACTGACCTGGGCTCCTGGACAGACTGATCAGAGGTTGCAAAAGCTGTGTTCACAACCTCTGGTGTGAGCATGTGTCCACATACACTCCTCAAAGCAGTGCCCCAGAACACTGAAAGAGGACATCAGGATTTCTGTTCCTACTTATTTCTACCCCAGGTACCAACACTTCTATCTTATAACACACTCGGATGTCTGTCGTGATACCTCTGCACTGCAGTGGACGTCAGGTGTGTGGGTCACAAGACTGGCCTTGGCCTAGGTGGTGACTGTGACAGCCACAGCTTCCTCTGAGTTGAGGTGGGGTGACTGGCTCTGGGGCTCCCTTTGGGGGTCCCCTAGCTGGTGAAGTGGCTCCTCCTTGACCCTGTGTTATGGTGTTACATTGTGTCAACTTGAGAAGTTGAGAAGTTTAACTGAGACTCAGCAAGGAGCCAGGGTCCTTACTTTGTAAACATCCTCAGCCTATACAAAGGAGGGCACCGAGGTGGTGGGAGCACTGTACCCCCGAGTGGGGGAGTGGCCTGTGTACAATATAAGGGAGGAAAGGAGGCTTGCTCTTCCCCTTTTTTTTGCTCTGGCTGCTTTTGCTGGCTGCTGCCTTGAAGTGTTGCCCAATGCCGTGCCACCCTGCCTCGGAGCCAGCTGATTACGGACTGAAACCTCCACAAACAGTAAGCTAAATAAACCTTTCCTTCCCTAATTTTGGGTGTCGGATGTTTTGTCCCAGCAATGAGAGAAAAGTACCCAAGATACCTTGTGCTCTGAGATTGCACAGTGCAGAGATGGGTACAGGAAGCTGACTGTCACCTCCCCCCAGGCTCCTCCCCAGCTGGTGACGTGGTGGCTGGACTATTATAGGAAAGCTCAAAATAAAGCACACAAGCAGAATCGACAGGAAATGGCCTAAAGTATCTAAAAGAAGATGAATGGTAAAGCCTTCACTTCTATAAGACCCTATTTTTTTGTTTTCCAAAGCTTGTGATGCGAATGTATCTTAATTGCCCTCATCAGTTCAAACTCCTGGAAATTACCAGGTCAATCAGCTGATACCTATCTTGGACCCATCCCTTCCCCCAAGTGGTGGTGACACAGAGTGAAGGTGTGCATTACATCTGCAATAGATTGAGTGTCTAAAATGCTTATGTCGAGGTCCTGATTCCCACACGCTGGTGCTGTATTTGAGTGTGAGGGGCCCCTGGAAGCTCATCTGTTGGAGGATTGGTCCCCAGCCTCTGGAGATTTGGGAGATGCTGGGATCTGTGGGAGGTGAGTAGAAAGAAGTTACATCACTAACTAAGGGTGTAAGCGGGGAAACTCATCTCTTCTTTCTCTTTTGCTTCCTGGAGCCATGAAGTGAGCAGCCTTACACTATCTCTCACTCCCACCACCATGATGGACTGGGCAGTCACAGGGCCAAGGCACCGCGGACCGGAACTGCTGAAATTCTGAGCCAAAAATAACGCTCTCCTCCTTAGAAGCTGGTTATCTCAGATGTTCTGTCACAGTGACGGGAATCTGAGTGATGGTATGTGGTGGCAGAGCCCTTGGGAAATGATTAGGCTGCATGACGGAATCTTCAGGAGTGAGGAGAGCCCAGAGAGGGCTTCCTGGCTCTCCTTCTCCTCCACAGAAAGGTGCAACCGGAAGTTGGGAACCCACCACTCAAAAGACACCTTCCTCAGAACTTGGCCACAGTAGTACTTGGGATTTCATACTTCCAGCCTCCAGAACTAGGAGAAATAAATTTCAGAGCCAGGCAGCACTCTGAGAGGCTGGCTGGCAGAGGAGGACCCCAAGTCTGAGTTTAGCATGGGCAAGCTAGGGACTTAGCAAGACTGTCGCAAAATATAAAAGGGCTGGGACGTAGCTCAGTGTGATGTCCCCACCCACACTTAATGGGTCACTCAGCTTATGATGTGTTCAGCCTAAATGTACAATGTTTTCTCTGAATGCACATGTTTTTCAAAGTGGATGGAGAAAACAAAATTAATGACTCAAGACCCAAGTTGCTATGTTGTTAAAAGATTATTTTTGATATATCTTTGGAAAAAGAAATAGGACCTCCAACTTCTAAGAGATGCGGGAATGTTTTACTGTGCGAGCCTAGCTCTGGAAGGTGGTATAAATCACTCTCTGGGTGACACTCCAGCTAGAATCCTAGCGCCAGTGATGGTCTCACACCGATGTGACCCAAGCCACTGGAGAGTGGAGAATTCCCATCCTGTTTAAGACAAAGGCAAGAGACAAAGACCCGAGTTGTCGGTTCACCTAGGACTTGCTGACAGCTGCCAAATTTATTATTATTTGTATTTTAGATTTCAAAACAGAGGCTTCCCCTTGGGGTGGCTGGGGGCCAGGACACTTTATTGCTGTTGGATCTCACCCACAGTGGGCAGCTCATTTGTCATCACACGGCTCATTTTGTGACTGGGCGACAGCGGTCACGACCCCCACGATTCGACAGTGTCCCTCAGGTTCCGGAGATTTCGGGAATCACCGAAGGCATAGCAATCTGTGTGTGCATTGCAGGAGCCCCCCAGGCCCAAAGACTGGGGGTACAGTCTGGGCAGAGAGGGGACATCCTGGGCTAGGTATCTGTGCCCATAGGGGTCTGCTGGGTCCTGATCTCCTCCTCCTGCGCTGTTGATCCTGCCTGGCTTTGTTACTAAGCTCGGGCAAGTCACCAAGCTGGTCTGGTCTGGGTTTTATTTTCTCATCTGTAAAATGAGGGTTAGAACACAGCATGTGTTAGCCAAAAGGCTTTAGCAATGGAGTTCTGGAACCTTATCCACTGCTGGCTCAAGCTAATATTGATTGAACCTTTCTGAAGCACCAGGTAGAAATGAGATGAATGCGTAGACCCTCTGGAAGTTCTACTGCTAGGAATTAGTCCTAAGAAAATAACCCAGTCATGGAGACAGAGCTGTGTGTATACATACACTTACTCCCAAAGAAAACTTAAGACCAGCTAAATGTTTTCAGAATAAGAGCATTTCTACAGGAATGAAGGTAGTCTGTTCAGTGTAATATTGTGTACAAATTGTGCTTTCAAAACATATTAATTCAACAAATGTTCATTGTATAACAACAAAGCAAAAAAGACAAAAAATACATTTCGTGACACTAAGTTTGCATCAAATATCTGAGATACACATTTGCGTGGGAAATCTGGAAGAAAACAGCCATGTACACTATGTTCCTAGGCGATTTACTATTTTTATTTTTTGAATATCTAAAGATCCTACAAGGAATACATATGGCTTTTATAAATGGAAAAAGTTAAGGAAAAGTAAATTCCAAACCCCAAAGTACGGAGTTGGTGGCGTGATCCATGTGTTTTATATGTGTTCAGTGCGACTGTGGGTAATCCTGGGTCTTAGGGACAGAACAGCAAAGTGTTGCAGAATGCAGAACCAGACCACTGGGTGCAAACTGTATCTCCTGTCCCCTTGGTTATGTGGCTGGAGTGACTGCGAAGCCTCAAGTGTGGAGGAGGCCTCAAGTGTGCCTTCACTTCTGCAACTGGGAGGTAAGGCAATGGGCGCCCCTGGCAGACCCCCCTGATCCATGGTACACACATATCAATACCTGTGAAATGGAAAACATTAACCTATTGTGTGCCAGGCATTGCCTTAGGTGCTGGGACCACACAGCACAGCTGTGTTTTAGACGATGCTATAGTTTAGAATGTTCCCTAAAAATCTCATGCATTTGGAGGGTGATTGGATATTGGGGGTGCTCCAGTCATCACTGGATTCACCCACTGATCAGTTCATGGCTGGATATGGTGTCAGGAAGGGGGCCTGTCTGGAAGAGGTGGTCCTGTGGTCTGGAAGGGCCCCCAACTCCTTTTCACTCTCCCTGCCTTATGACCGTCATGAGGTGAGCATGCCGATTCTGCCTTGGTGCCAGCAAACCATGGAGCGAACCCACTGAAACCGTGAGCTAAACGAATTCTTCCTCCTTTAAGCTGTGTGTGTTAGATATCTTGTCAGAGCCAGGAATGCAAAAAAGACTAATATGGTAGAGAAGGCAGACGACAAGTGTCCACAAATGTAAGGGAAGGCTGGGGAAGAGTGCTCGTCACGGAAGCTCTCAGGTAAAGGATCATCTGAGCTGAGACCCGAGCGAGCCACTCAGACACCAGGAGGAAAAGCATCAAGGATAGAGTGAAAGGTCTGAGTGAAGGGCATATTTAAGGAACAGGGAGGAAACTGGATTTTCCTGAAAGCAGACTCAGAGACAGAAACAAAAAGAGCTTCTTCAAAAATCCAGGACAAGACATGGGAAAAGCTGCAGTGCTGGTGGGAGCCTTTCCAAATCCTCTTTCTAGCTGTGTTTTAAAGTCACATTTCACAGGTCCTGGTGGCTCCAGGTGGAGACCTCATACATTAGAACCACAAGACTTGGGGATGGGACCTTTTGTTACTCACAAACCCTCACAAACATGTCACCAATGTCACAGTCACTTCTTTGAGCCATAGTACTGTGTGGATGTTTATACAGTGCCATGCGAGGAGATGGCATGAGTTGAGATCTGTCCACAGAGAGTGGTGTAGGTACCGTAATAGTCAGTGCTGTGAGTGTGGCTTTGTGTGGGAACAGAGTCTCTGCAGGTGGCCTCCTGGTCCAGTGAGGTCATCCTGAGCAGGGTGCGTCCTAACCCAATGACCAGGGTCCTTAGAAGAGAGGGGAATTTACACAGACATAGGTGCATATTGGATATTTTGTCAGGGGAGAAGCTGGAGATGGAGATGCATCTAGAACTGGAGGAAAGCCAGGGACTATCACTGGTTACCAGAAGCTAGGGAGTCACAAAGCTTCTCCCCCCAGACTCCTCAGAGGGAGCCTGGTCCTGCACACAGCCTGCAGCACAGCGCCTTCAAATCTCACTGAGTCTGACCCCCCCACACACCTTTAAGGTCTTGGGACCCCCTTGGGTCCCCTCAGATGATCCAGTGACTTTCCATGTTTTATGGTCAGCTGGCCAGCAGTCAAATTCACCTTGCCTTGTGACCTAATATTCACAGAATGTGGACACAGCATATGGGCATCTCTAGGGGCTGAGACGCTACCTCTTCCTAACACCTTTATTGTCTTTTTTCCCTCCTCTGACTTGCTACCTCACTTCTGATTGGTCTTGTATCTCCCAAAAGCTCTGCTACAAATCTGGGCCTATGCAGAAGCTTGAACTAAAATACAGTGTAAAAGGGTTGCTGGCCTAGGCACTTCCATGGGTCCTCAGGATATGGTTTTTTTTTCTCTTTCCTTCCTTCCTTCCTTCCTTCCTTTCTTCCTTCCTTCCTTCCTTCCTTCCTTCTTTCCTTCCTTCCTTGCATTTTCTTTGCAGCCAGTAGCAAAACAACCAAGGTGTCCCCAGCTGAGCTACCAAATGTGCACACTTAGTTTCATTAGGAAAGGAAGTCCTGAGATTCACTTTCATTGGGGCACTTTAGGTCATGTGTCTCTCCCTGGGATACATTTCATTGGTCCACTTTAGGTCACATGTTTCCCTGAGACTCATTTTCATTGGTGCACTTCAAGTGGTGCATCTCTCCCTGAGCCAATCCTCCAACTGGAGGAGTAGGGTACTTGATTGGCCAAGCCTGGGGCTGGAAGGCAGACAGATTGCATCTGGGTCTCTGCTTTTCCATTTATACCTCTGGGGATTTTTGCCTCACTACCCACCCACTTTAAGCCCAGTTTCTTTCTCCACTATTGTTCTTCTTAGAGGTAGATGAGACCAAGTTGGGCTCTATGCAAAATTCAACTAAAACATCAATTCCATTCTTCCTCAGGGTCTATTTTACCTTTTGGCAAAGTAGGATCCAAACTTCCTTTCTCTATAACGTTCTTTGAACTTGGTAGCGTTAATGCAAAGGACGTATCGCGACCTACCATCGCGCATGGATTCAGTTTCGATCAAAATCTAAAAAGTCATTGCAAATCTCAAGGTGTAAAATGAGGACCCTTTATGGCCTGAGTCAGGAGGTGAGAAATGGCAGTGCTGGGTGGTTAGTTCAGCCATGCTGCTCAGACTGGGGTTGGGCAGGCCAGCCCCCAAGTCTGCCCCTGCTGTTGGTAGGAGGCCTCCAGGCCTGTCTTTGTGAGCCTCCACCTGGGGCTTTGGCTGTTGGAGTGGCCTCAGGACATGGTACTGCCTTCCCCAGAGTGAGGAGGCAGGAGAAAGGGAGAAAAGGAGAAGCTACAACGTCTTTTTGTGATCGAGACTCATATGATTGTTGTGTTAGCCCAATTTCAGTTGC